TAAAGTAGCTCGGGTAATCTGTCAAGTCCATGCTCAACTCTTTATGGCCTAACTCGGGTACTTTCTAGTTTGAAGGGTCCGCTCCGTGACAAGCTTGGCTCGTCTAGGGCCTGGGCATGGTACCTCGTTGCATGTATGACCGGAGATGCACCTCGTAGATTATGCCACCCTCCAAGAACGTGACTCTGCGGTTCGGGCTACCCCGTCAGAAAGTAATGGGTGGCTCCCTGCACTTGTTCACCGAGCAGTCCTCACTCGTCGTAGATGTGTTTGATCGCTTCTGGGATAGACTGGACGAGAAGGAGTATGTCTTTTGCGTAAGAGAACGGTCATACTTTAGTTGGAAATCTCTTCTGGTTCCATTGCATCATATATTGAATTGGCATTAACTCGGTGCACATGTTGTCCAATCATGTTCTATTCAACACCAACTACTCTACCTCCCCTTAATCATACCAGATAGCATTCATGCCGAACCCGGGCTCGGGAATGCGCACGCGCGCGACGCGGTGCAGGAACTCGTCCTTCCAGCGGTACATCTCGAGCCAGCCCTCCTGGTCGTCGGTGATGGCCATCCACTCGTCGCTCCAGTCGCACGGCGAGACGGCGTTGCTGTGGCCGCCGCTGGTCGGGGTGGGGTTGAGCAGGATCTGGCGCTCGATGCTGCCGCAGTCGCGCAGCTTGAAGGCGGCCATGTAGCCCTGCAGCTCGAACTTGTTGGCGCGCGACGACGCGAACATGTACTTGCCGCTGAAGGTCAGGGCGACCACGTCGGCGCGGTACAGGCCCTTGCCCGTCTCGGCGTCGCGCGCGGGGATGCCGGGCGGGATGAGCGGGTAGCTGTGGTGGGTGTAGACGGGCAGGTGGGTGGCCGGGTCGATGACGTACTCGCAGATGCGGTTGCCGGCCTCCATCAGGGCGTACAGGTAGTTGCCGGTCGGGTGCATGGCGACCCAGCGCGGGTGGTCGCCGGCGTCCGGAGCGTCGACGCTGCCGACCAGCTCGACCTCGCCCGAGGGAAGCTTGCGGTGCGTCCACAGCTTGTTGGCCGTCAGGTCGGCCGAGTAGAGGTACGTCTCGGTCGGGTCGAACACCATGCCATGGATACCGGTGTTGGGCTGGTAGGGGTAGTTTTGGATGTTGGTCTCGAGCTTGCCCGACTCGGAGACGGAGAAGACGTTGCCGTAGCCGGCGTGCTTGTAGAAGGGGTTGGCATAGACGGCGTACGGCGGCTGCTTGGCCGCGAGCAGGAAGATGGCACGGGTGTTGGTCTCGGCGCTGGTCGCCAGGGCTGTAATGCGCATGAGAGGTCAGCAGCTGCATCCGAGACTTGTCTCTCGTGAAAAGGAATGACATACGGTCACCACCAATGGGATGCGAGGCCTCGTGAACAATCTCAGTCGGGCTCCGGACGGCAAAGCTGGACCATTTCTTCATGGCCGCGCCGTAGATGTTCTTCTTTGCGTGCTGTGTCCATTTGTGAGCAACCTCTTCCTCAGATGGCGACCAATTGGCGTCGTACGTCGAAGGTCATCCATGATATCGGCTCGTCGTGTGGGATCTCGGTGCGCTTGACCAGCTTGAGTGTGAGCTTCTCGTCGTCAAACTCGACCGTGAAGATGGCTCCGGGGGGAGTCCAAGTCCCGATCATCAAGTGGTGGACGGGCATGGCTGTGAACGACGTCGGCTACCGTTGCCGGGACTTTTTTTTTGGTGTTGGAGAAACAGTCGCCAAAAGTTCCCGTCGCTGCAAACCGTGTCGCTGCGAGCTGAAGCAACCGAGGGACGTAGGAAATTCAATCGTACGATGCAGGATTGGTGTTGAACGGGAATTGCTATATCGGTCTAGATTATGTTCTACCTGGGTGTTGCGCGCAACTTTTTCCTCCCCGTGCCTGGGCTGCTCCGAGGTGCTGTGTGAATCTTTACCCCTCGGCCGCCCCCAGTCTTCGGAATTGGCAATGTGGGGTCGGTAGCGGCGGCGGTAGATGGGAGATCGCCCAGAATCGTCGGGATTTCTGGCGAGTGTGGCTCTGCTCCACGCGACACGGGCCCCGGTCCTGCCGCAAAACCTTGTTCCCCCAGACAGACAATCCGCCCCTCGCGCTTCTCGCAACCACGCCTGAGCACGCGCCCCTGCAGCATGGAGCCGGAGGGTAAACGCACATCCCGGCCTCGAGACCCTGACCTGTGTGCGCTAGCCAACAATCGCGAGGCCGAGCTCCATTCATCGCACCATCGCCACAGGCAAAGGAGGGTCTCCCGGGGCCCCCAGGGGAAAGGTCGGGTGGGAGGTGGGTTGGCTTGGTTGGCTCGAGACTGGCCACTGCACTGGTGCACAAGCACAGGCAAGGCACCTGGCAGTTGAGGTTGCAGATCCACAGTGGATGCCATGTACTGCAGCGGGAGAACCAAAGATGAACCGGCTGGCGATTCATGGGATGGGCTGCGCCAAGCGCACGGCAGCCGGGGAGCTGGTCAGCAATGCCAGTGCCCTGACAGGCAGGCCGCTGCCAGTGGAGTGGGGCGGATTTGGGGCGCAACTGGGACCCAACGCCTGCGTCCTGGGGTGGCAGGGGACACTTTCGGGCGAGCCCCGGCGTTCCCTGCTTTCCGGGTCCCCTGGATGGATCCCAAGGCAGGGCTAAATTTCTCCCGGCTTGCCTCCTTCCCCGACCCCACTCCCGCGGCGCAGACCTGGGGACGGGCAAGCTGCCGTGACAGCACCCCGATTGCTCTCGGCGGGGAAAATGATGCCACAAGGTTGGCCCGCGTCCTATCACGTTGGCCGAATTCACAACCCGCGGCGATGCTTTGCAGCGTCAAACAGGTAGGGCGAGTTGAGGCGAGTGCCGGTCCCTCCCTGCTCCTCTCTTACTCCTCCGTGTCTATTTAACTTGACCGTCTTGCTCGCTTTCCGGTCCAGTCTTTCCCATCAGCATCTTCAGCCTTCATCATCTTCACACTTCCACTCTCACAACCTCTCTCCACACCCCACCAACCCCCAAACCACCATCACAATGGCCCCCGCTCACCGTTTCGACCCCAACTTCACCCGCAACGTGGTGGAGGGCATGGGCCCCAACACCACTCCCCGCAACCGCCAGCTCCTTGGCTCGCTGATCACCCACATCCACGACTTCGCTCGTGAGAACGAGCTCACCATCGAGGAGTGGATGGAGGGTGTCAAGTTCATCAACGCTCTTGGCGAGATCTATGTCAACAGCAACAAGACCCGTAACGAGACCCACCGCATCTGCGATGTCATTGGCCTCGAGTCGTAAGTTGACTTACACAACCCCCAACTACCAAACCGAGACAGCCCATGCTAACAACCGCTCAGCCTCGTCGACGAGATCGCCCACAAGATCATCTCTGAGACCGGCATGGATCCCACCTCGTCCTCCATCCTGGGCCCCTTCTGGTCCCCCAACGCTCCCTTCCGTGAGCTGGGCGGCGTCATCTTCCAGGACGGTGTCCCCCCCAACGGCCGCGTCACCAAGATGCACGGCGTGATCCGCGACATCACCACCGGCAAGCCCATCCCCAACGCTGTCTTCGACATCTGGCAGGCGTCGGCCAACGGCAAGTACGACTTCCAGGACCCTGAGAACCAGACCCCCAACAACCTCCGCGGCAAGTTCCGCGCCGACGCCGAGGGCAAGTACTGGTTCTACTGCCTGCACCCCACCGCCTACTCGCTTCCCCGCGACGGCCCCTCGTGGCAGCTCCTCACCATGATGGACCGCCACCCCATGCGCCCGGCCCACATCCACATCATGGTCACCCACCCCGACTTCCAGGGCTGCACCACCCAGCTGTACCCCAGCGACGACCAGTGGATCACCAACGACACCGTCTTCGCCGTCAAGGACGATCTCGTTGTCACCTTCAAGCCCCTCGAGGGCGACGACAAGGCCGTGCTCGAGCTCGAGTACAACGTCAACCTGGCCCCCAAGGGCTACAAGGGCCGCCTCTAAGCGTTGCCTGGTGACGGTCTGATGGGAGGGGAAGTTCTTTGTACATATTGTCACGTATATACCCAGCCTCCAGCAAATCTGCAGGGCGCGGATGGGGGTGATCGAGGAGAGTTTAGCGATGAGAGCGTTTGACAGGTTGAATAAAAAGTTCTTAAAACAACACTCTGACCCTTTGGGTGTGACTCTGTGGTTTGCTCATGCGATTTGAACCCAATGTGACGCCGTCATAACCCAGCTCCAGGTCGCACGAAATCTTTGCTATCTAACTGAGGATTGTTTTGAAGGGTCCTTGTGAGGTTTACCCCTTTCCGTGACATTGCGTATCGACGTCATATTCAGGGGCATTGTTCAGATGGAAGCTCAGGGGGATATGTTAAGGAGCCACGTGCGATTACCCATGACCTTAACGGATCAACATGACCTGGACTCTCCTCTACGTCACGTATCACTCTGGAAGCGCGTTGAACACAGCTCTGTTCAGCTGCTCCCACAGCGGAACACAACACACTCGCACCCTAGACACTGTAACGCATTGCTGCAACTCCGAACGTCGATACGCCACACAGATTTAGGGAATACAGGTACACACACTCTGTCTTCTCAATATTGCCGACTATGACACAATAAAATAAACACTATCAAACCTCGCTTCAGATACATATCCCCAACCCCCCCCCCGGGTTTCCACATCCCCCTTTCCGCCCGTTTTGCCCCTCTCTCCAATCCTCCACAGGGGACATCTCAGTCTCCACCACCGGGAAAGATTTGTTCCTAAAACATCTCCCACCGCAGATGACACAACATCCCCTCAACCAGCACCCTCGCAAAGGAGGATTTGGCTCAAGAATACCATCTTAGCCTCCAACAAATCGAAAGCTAGAAAACAAACCCCAAATTCCACACAACTTTCCAAACCCGTTACCCCCAAATAGTAGAAAAAGAGAGGGAAGGAAAAAAAAAAAGAGAAAAGAAGCCTAACCCCCACCATCAAAAACGACATTGGACTCAACTCCCCCAAAATGACAAGGGTGAGATTCGAACTCACGCCCCTTTCGAGACCACGGAAACTCGCAAACTGTGAGTAGAGGATTAAGGGTTTTGCTACAACCTTAACGTGGCGCCTTAGACCGCTCGGCCACCTTGCCCTTCTTTTTGGATTAGGTTGGAGATTGTGTGGTGGGGATGCGGGTTTTTGTTTAGCCGCCCCCCCCCCCCCCCGCCCCTTCGTTCGTTCGACTTGTCAGGGCAGTTTTTCGGATGGGGAGTGGGTTATGGATGGATGGATTTGAGGGTTTTAGGGGGCGTGGGTGGGTGGAGTCCCAGGTTGTTCATTTAGGTACCTGGGTACATAGAAGGTAGGTTGCCATGAATTCAATGGGGCGAGTGACTTATAGATTACAATATGTAGTAAATGGGCGCGGAAATTCTCAGGGGATTGGAGCACTAGGAATGGGGGTGAGGTCAGCGGCTGTTGAAATGGAAGTGGAAGATGCGAGGTTAGTGAGAGTGTCATGAGGGAGTCTGTTTACGAGTTGGACATATAAGGGGTGGTAATCTGGCTTGTTGCCCAACAGAGGGTAGCATCTCGGGGAATGGCCAAAGGTGAGGGAAGAGATATGAGAGCAGCTCCCATTTTAACCCCTTCATGCGGTGAGTCTAGACGAGGAGTGGGTGAGTTGGAATAAATTCCTCGAGTCAGCAAGCAGCGCAAGAAGTACCTGCAACAAGGACACCTGGTTTGCCCTTGGGACTGAGCGATGTTTGAAGTTGAGTACCCATGCCCTGAAGGAGCTGATTCGACGTTGCGTGTGCTGATGCTCTCAGCTATTGGGAGAGAGATATTGAAGTTTGGTCCAGACCACTGCATGCTCATGGTTTGTTGGATCCAAATTGGAACAGTGCAAAGACCACTAATTAGTTTACAAACCAAAAACATCACTGCTTGCTCTCACATCCCGAGTTGACAAATTCTAAGGTTTTGTTGACAGAATATGTACAGCGCGCCTGCTCTACTTCTTCTCCTCCGTCTTCTCCTCTGGTTTCGGCGTTGGCAGCTTGAAGGTCTCGGGTGTCCGGTCCACGCCAGGCCCAATCTGCTCCCAGGCGCTGGAAGTGCGAAGCTCTGCTCGAGCGGCTCCGTCACAATGCGCTTCTTCTCCTCGTCCCACCGAATCTCGGTGTAGCCCGTGAGCGGGAAGTCCTTGCGCAGCGGGTGACCCTCAAAGCCGTAGTCCGTCATGATGCGGCGGAGATCGGGGTGGCCAGTGAAGAAGACGCCAAACAAGTCGTAGACCTCGCGCTCATACCAATTCGCGCCGTCGAAAAGGGGGGTGACGCTGGGCACTGGGGTGACCTCGTCCGCATACGTCTTAACCCGGATCCGCGAGTTATGGCGGACACTGAGCAGGTTGTAGACGACCTCGAACCGTTGGTCGCGGGTGGGGAAGTCGACGGCCGTGACGTCGCTCAACTGGGTGAACTCGGCGGCAGTGTTGTCTGAGAAGCGTTAGCCATCGGTGCTAGGCAGTCCTCAACGAAGCCCCACTAACACTTCAGGAAGGAGAAAACCGGGATGACGCCGGACGGGGAGATGTAGATGGTCAATTCGTCCTTCCAGACAGAGAACTGCTGGACGTATTTGGGGAGACAGCCCATGACCCACGAGCCGTACTTGTGCAGGTTGTCGGCCTTGGACTGGTACTTGTCGGCCGGGTTGACGAGGGGCGCCTTGAGGGTGCCGATTGGGTCGCGGGGCGCGAGGCGCGGGTTCTGGACGTCCTTGGGACTGCGACGGCGGCGCGGGCGGTGGTCGCGAAACACCGCACCACGGCCTCGTTGCGAGCTGCCACTGACGGCTGCGCCGGCCTCAGGGCTGAGGCCAGGGCCCTGTTTCTGCAGAGCTTGCTGGCCATGGTCGGAATCAAGGGTGTGGACCAATTGATCGAGAGTCAGCCGGTGGCCTCGATCGTAGACGCTGCGGAACGAGTCGTTTTCCAATTGACGTCGAGCTTGAGCTTGGTCCAGCCCAAGGATGCGCACGTGAACGGTCACGTGCTAAGAACTCAACGAGAACCAGTTGCCCCGCTGAACTGATGGGAGCGCTTTGCGTGTGTGCCGAAAGTTGGGACCAAGAAATCCAGCTCTGGATTGCCAGCCCGGGACACAAACAGCTTGGGTACCTTACTCGAACTTGTCGCTTTTGCGCTGTGTGAGCTGCTGAATCTCCTTCCTGCCTGCGTTTTGAGGAACTCAGTTCCCCACGGCCCTGCACAGCGCGCTTTCCTCCCCGTCTTTCCTGCCAGCCAACCACAAGCGGCACGACACGTGCAACGAGACACTAAGCCTAAAACCGCTTAGCGAGATCCCAGAACCTTTTGCTGGAAGGCTCTGCCGTCGCCTCCATTCCTCCTTTCAACCCTCGCTCGATCCGATCATCTCGCCCATTTCCACCAAGCATTGCAGAGGATGCCCTTGTCCTCCTTGTAAATTCCTACAGGCGTTAACCAGGCGGACCATTTGTCTTATTTCCTTCCACGACGCGATTGCCCGCTGCATCAGCGACACGTAATAACGATACCCATCTCTGCTTTTGCCGCGCCCAGATCATTGCACCAACCCAACCAATCCGCCGTTCGTCCCGAACCCGTTCTCCTCCCGCCTAGCGCGACACGTTGCCCAGTCCTCTATCCTGCCACCGACCACAACTCGCAGCCATGGCGCCACAAGACACATACATCGACGATGAGGAGGACTGCTGGTATGGAATCCCTTAAGTCGTCTTGCCAACCCGCCCTGCCACCCGCTAGTTCCGTCGCATCCCTCAGTCTGTTCGACCGGCTTCAGCTCGCTAACCACACGTGCCGCAGCCCTCTGTGCATCGAAGAGTTCGATCTCTCCGACCGAAACTTTCGACCATGCCCTTGTGGATATCAGGTATGGAGATGGTTGCGAGCCCAAACAATACCCGACCGCCCCGCTGACAGCATGAGCAGATCTGCCAGTTTTGCTTCAACAACATCCGGACAAACATGAACGGCTTGTGTCCCGCGTGCCGGCGTCCGTACGATGACAAGACTATCCAGTGGAAGGTGGTTACACAGGAGGAGTAAGCTAAGCCGCCTCGTTGTTGGATGGCTTGCCTGCTGACAGCGCTTAGGGTTGCCGAATTCCGCGCCAATATTCAGAAGAACCAGAAGAAGCGAGCTGCCGAACAGCGCCAAAAAGAGGCACAGAAACGCGAGGCCGAGAAGGAGAATCGCAAAAACCTGGTTGGCGTGCGGGTCGTCCAGAAAAACCTTGTTTATGTGACAGGGTTGACACCGACGGTTCGTGAGGACGAGCTGCTCAAGACACTCCGAAAGCCCGAGTTTTTCGGCCAATACGGCAACATCCTCAAGATCTCCATCAGCAGCCGCAAGGGCACCGACGGCCAAAACCAGTCTCTCGGCGTTTATGTGACATTCGAGAAGAAGGAGGACGCCGCGCGCTGCATCCAGGCTGTGAATGGGTCGCAAAATGGGGACAGGGTGCTAAGGGCGCAGTTGGGAACGACAAAGTACTGCTCCGCCTGGCTCAGGCATGAGCAGTGCACGAATCGGCAATGCATGTTCCTGCACGAGTTGGGCGACGAGGAGGACAGCTACAGCCGGCAGGATTTGTCTTCGATGAATAGCATCAACTCGCAACGACCTATCCCAGCCGCCGGCACCTCGCGTTCCGCGTCGAGACAGCAAGCACACCCGTCGCCATCCCCCGCTGCCGCGCAGCCCATGGTGAGGAGTTCCAGCAGAGACGGATCCGACAACGGCGATGCTCCCGCGCTTCCAGCCTCTGCGAACTGGGCTCGCAACCCACAGGTTCGCAGCCGCCGGGGCAGTCACGCCACCAGTGCTGCGGCGCCCAGTCCTGCCATCTCAAACGCGTTGCCAGCTACTGCCGAATCCGCCGTGGAAGATGCACCCCCGGAGCCCTCGACCGCCGCACCCTCGGCTCGGGCCGCCGCAGCTGCCACTCAGCCGAAGCCTTCCAGCGCGCCCATCGACAAGGCTAAGCGCATACCGCAGGACGCTCTCAGGTCGCTCTTGAAATCACTCGAGGGCTGCTCGCTCGCATGGCCCAAACTGGGTGGCGATCTGCCCCCCGATGAGTTCAATACGCTGTATCCCCCTCTTTTCGACACCCGGGGCGGGATGCGGCGGCGTGCCCTACGGTCCGCTTCGGAAGATACTAGCAGTGTCGAGGATCAACAGTCGGGTGGTGCTCGGGAGCCTTCGGAAGGCGAGCCAGAGAGCAGCGGTAGTCTGGCTCTCGGTGGGGAGCCCGAGGACCGTGATAATGGCCGGGATGGTCCCAACTTTGACCCGCGCCGAGGCTCACAGCCGCCTATCCAGCGAGGCAGTACAGACGGGCTCTTTGGCCAGGCCGTCGGTTCTGCGTTTGCTCCGCCAGCTGCAAGCCTGGGCTCTATCGGGGGCCGGGCGATGACACCCCAGCAGACCTCATTCATGCGGCAGCCGGGCAACTTCGTCGACCATCTCTCTGCTCAAGCCAACCTCTTTCAGGGGCAGGGCCACAACCGCCAGGGTTCTCGTTTCAGCTTCGCCAATGAGGGCAGAGATGCGGCGTCGTCCACCTCTGTGAAGCTGACGGCGAACCCCCGCATCATGGCACAGCAGTCGTCGATGATGCCCTCGTCATTCCACAACCAGCCCGGCGGCCAGTTCTACGCCACTTCGATGCCCGGGCCGCCGCCGGGACTCAAGTCGACAGGTACGCCGCCGGGCGTGTTTGGACAGCACGGGTTCGGTTCGGCCGCGTTTGGCGGCGCCTCGAAGGACACCAACGAGATGCTGCAGCTGTTCCGCGGCCGGGGCGCTGGCAGCCAGGCTCATGATGCCGGAAAGCGTGAGTACATGTTTTCTTCATTTCCTAATCAGTACCCACCCTCCACCTCCTCCACCCCAGCTCCTGCCTCGAACCACCTGGCAACGCTCTACGGTTCTCAGCCCGGAGCCTTCCATGACTTGGGTTCAAAGCAGAAGAAGAAGGGGAAGAAGCACAGACACGCTAACACTTCCTCCTCTGGGGGGAGTGGCCTAGTTGATCTTGCGGACCCGAGTATCCTGCAGGCGAGAATGCAGTCTCAGCAGCACCTGCAGCAACAGAGCAATGCCGGACTCGGACAGGGACTGTTCGGTGGCCAGTCGCAAGGTGGGTACAACAACCCCGGGATGATGTATAACCCGGGATATCGGGCCTGGTGATCCTTAGAGGAGAACCTGCGCGCTGCGACTGCGACCTTTGCTTTTTTTTTTTTTTTTTTTTTTTCGTCTCTTTTCTTCGAGCATTCTTGGAGGGGGCACCACCTGTTTTGTTTTACTGTCATATTATATATCACGACGGCGTCTGCGCCAAGGGGCGGGAAAGGATTTCACGAGGCAAACATGCGAACTGCGCACATTCTTGACTCCATGGAGCATCACACAAGCGCCGGTTCCAAAGGAGGAAGCCGCCTTGCATTGGCGTCATTTGCATTTTTGGGAGGGCCGAAAGAGGGATTGGGTTCATCTCGAGGGGCATCTGCAAACTTGGGAGTCACTTTGCCCCGTTTGCTTCCCAGGTCAGGGACTTCGCATCGCTAGGGTTATCGGGTTACGTCAGGCAAGCTCTCATCGTCTTCCTCCAGGTCTCCCCATGTACGTTAACTTGGGCCCCAGGTTTGCACCGTCGGGGCTGAGGTGGCATCGGTGGTCAAAATAGAGCTCATTACACCGCACTCTCATGAACGGTTTTCGCGCTTCACTTTCTTTCGGAAGACGATGATGATAGTCTTGACGTAACCATGCCCTCATGTATATAGTGGCGCTGGCTTGTCGTGTTGCTCCCTCCTCCCGCTCAAGATGTTTAGCATTTGGCTTTGGTTTCTCGTCTACACTTCATCGCCCCTCCCCGGATCAAGAGGCTAATCTTGGTTGATGTAGACGACGAACTCCCTTCCTTGGATGAGGTGAGGTCGAGCATAGAAGCACTTGTCGCCGACGAGCCGATTGACGCCAACATTCGCCAACCCCCCGGCGCATTCGACTCTCTTGGTCGCTCAGGGACACCCTCAGTTCCGCCCGGGTTTTCGTTCCCAAGCGCACATCCGTCCCCGGCACTATCCCATTCGTCTCTTCTGACGACGAGTGTTGGCCGTCAGACGCCTCCTGTTGCGCTGCCCAAGGTTCCAGCTAAAGCCCCGGTCACGGCGTCGAGCCCCCTCACCAAAAAAGCCATCACGCCCTCTGTTCCTGAGGCCAAGAAAGCTGTGAAGGCCCTGGCAGCTGAGAGTGGTCTGTCGAAGGAGATCGCCAAGTCCAAGTCACAGAAGCTCTTGCAGGAAGAAGACTTTCCTGCTCTGAATTCCCCCAAGCCTCAGGCAGCAGCAACGCCGGTTGTCCAACCCAAGGCGGTTGCAAGCAAAACTGCGACTCCAAGCAGCAAAAAGACATCCGAGAAGCAGGCTGAGAAGGTCAAGGAGACGGCCAAGGAGAAGGGGAAGGAAAAGCAGAAGGAGAAACCTGCACATGGGCCTGCATCTACACCTGCACCCACGCTTGCGCCTGTGCCGACGCCCGCTTCGGAAAAGAACGAGCCACCAAAAGCAGAGCCAAAGGACGCAGAAAGGGTTGCAGAAAAGACCTCTGAAAAGCTTCCAGAGAAGCCGGCAGAGAAAAAGACGGACAAGCGTCCGATCCCTGGCATCCTCAATATCGCCGCGGCAACGAAGGCAGCCCAAATCAAAACCGTGGAGGCGCCATCTGCAACAGACAAAGCGACATCAGATAGGGATTCTGCTTTCCCAGCGCTTCCCACTCCGGCGCCGACCTCGGTGTCGTCTCCTCTCACTCGCGCAGCTCCCAAGACGCTCCGAGTCGTGTCGACTCCCAAGACCGAGGTCCCGTCGACTCCGATCCTATCAGCGCCTGCTTTGAGATCGGTCGCTGCGACAGCCATTCGCCCCGAGACCCCTGCCAGCGAATTGATCTCGGACAGCGCATCCATCATTTCGGCTTCCATCTCTGCGTCTCGCACCAATTCTCCTCCGCCATCCAAGATTGGCTCCGCCCCGGTGCGCACCACAACCAAGAGCCAGCAGCGTAAGCAGCGCAAGGATGCGCTGAAGAAGGAGACGGCGACAATCGCAGCGCAACCGGCCAAGGTCGAGACAACCGTCGAGATCGGCCCCATCGTTGGCCGCAAGAAGAAGCAGAAGAAGGAGAAGGAGAAGATGAGCAGTAAGACTGCCACTCCTGCGCAAAGCCGCCCCCAGACCCCGCTGGCCACTCATCCGACGTCTGTCAAGGAGACTAAGGAAGTCGTCGAAGTCAAGGAGCCCAAGGAAGAATCTTCGGCGTACCGATCGACGGCGAATGAGACGACCACGTTGACCGACGAGCCGCCGCTGCACAAGGGCAGGTTTGGCGATCTCAAGGGAAAGATGGTCGAAAAGCAGGACAGAGGCTCGGATGCGTCGACGCCTCGGACCCTGCCAACCCCCGCGTCAGTTCTGCACGACCTTCAAGCCGCTGGACTGGCTGACAACCTCGAGAGCCTAGCTTTCTTCAAGCCAGTCAGCGTCCAGCTCGACAAGTCGCGCAATGACGCCAACCACGCAGTAATCCGGGACCAGGCGGCCAAGAATTCCATGACGCCAACCAAGTCGATCGTGACCGAGGACGACCAGGCGTCTCTCCTCGCAGGCAAGCCAGTGCGCAAGGTCATGGACGGCACCCGCATCCTCCTGACCCCTAATGGCGACTGTATCCGCAACCTGAGCCCCGAGGAAGAGGACCGCTTCCTTGAACTCCAACAACTCGTCGCCGAAGCGACTGCCAACCCGGCTGCCTTTGTCTCCTCCCGTCACGAAGCCGGCGGCGGCTTCAGCCTGATTAAAGGCCGTGCTGTGCCCAACGGCCCGCCCAGCTACTTCCCTCCTGCTCCTGGCGCGTACCCTTCGGACCCGGTCAACAAAATCCAGCGCGAGGAGGCCATCTACTACATCAACCAGTACGTCCTGCCGCGGCTGAACCTCAATGCCCGAGACATGAGCCTGCCCAAGGCCATGTCCACCTGGACCACCGACCCGCGGGGCTCTGCCGCTCAAGCGGCCGCTGCCAACCTCAGCTCCGTCGCGCCGTGGCTGTACGGCGGCATCGGCGCCTCCTCCTCCCCATCCCACCTCCCACCCCTCTCGCACGACGACATGCTCGACGTCGGCGCCGCGCCGCCCGAACTAAGCTACCCAGGCCCGGTCGGCGCCTTCGCCGACGACCCGCACCACGCCGGCTACGTCGACATCAACTCGCAACTTCCCACCGTCGAGGAAGTCTTCGGCACCACCGCCGTCGGCGGTCGACACCACTCTCATCCCCACTCCCACCCCATCCCCACCCCCATCATCACCACGCATCCTCCTCCCCGTCCACCTCCGCAGCAGGCGCCGCATCCGGCCCTCCTCCCCCGCCACCTCCCGCCACCACCGCCGTGACGGGCGGCATCAACTTCACCTCCCCGGGCCCCTTCGGCAACGTCCCGCTCATGTCCCTCGAGGACGCCGAGCAGGCGCTGTCGGCGGCGCGCAAGGAGACGGAGAAGCTGGAGAAGAGCCTCAACCAGCTGATGAGGAAGAACCGGCGGCAGCTGATGGCCTCGTCGTCGTCTGCCTCTCCGTCGGCCGGTGGGCCGGGCGGGTCGTCTACCTCGGCGTCTGCCTCGGCGGTGGCCGCTGTGGCCGCTGCTGCCGCCGTGGGAGGAGGTGGGGAGGGGGCGGGCATTGACTATCTTGGTCTGTTGCTGCTGCGTCTGGTGGTGGTGTTGTTGGAAGGGGGGAAGAGTGTGTGGACGGTGAGATGGGGGTGGTGTATGGCTGGGGAGGAGGAGGAAGGAGGGGCGCGAGGAGAGGGGCGAGGCATGATGCCGTTGCCGCGGTCGCCATGGCGGTTGCGCTGGCGAGAGTGCTGAGAGGGTTGAGTAGCATGGGCGAGGCGGCGTTTGCGGCTGTTTGGATGGCTGTGTTGTTGGTGGAGAGCGTGGTGGCCATGGCGGCGAGGGGGGCGGTGGTTGCTGTTGAGGTGGTTTGTGCCGTGTTGGACTGGGTGGGGGCGGAGTATTGAAGGGTTGGTGGGTTGGTGGGTTTTTTGGATCGATGGAAAAGCTCTGGGGTATGGGATGAGATGGGATGAGTTGAGTGTGCGCTGAGTGAGCGGACTGGGAGGATGAGTGGTTATTGCAGGCCTTGCGGCGAATCGTCGCTGCGTGCGCATCTTGAGCGCATCACTAAGGGCATGTTCTCTTCGAGAATTGGCGTACGATGAGGTTGTCCTCCAGCCGAGGACCGGCCTGATTTGAAGCCACAAACAAGCGCTGCTCCTAATATTCCAGGATATAGAGTATCGTCTTTAAGTTATAGGATCGTGAAGCAGAGCTTGTACCAGTAATGGTACAGAGAAAAGCGTTAAAGGTGGAATACATCAACACTGCTATCATATCATGAACTCGCACCCTCGCGAGACTGCTATTCGGATATGGTGTCTGTCGAGCTCGGGAAACCCGTGATGTTAGGATATAAAACTGCAGAACAGGACATGTACAGCCTCTCTATGTCTCGACAGGCAATGAGTGGGTCTGGGTGAAAAACAGAACCAAGAAGGACATTTTCAACTGTCACTGACTAGGAGCGCGAGGTGTCAGTTCCATAAGGTTATACCAATTCGGTCAATGCAAGTCATGTTGAGACTCTTTCTTGATCAATGCTAAGAATAAGGGGGGAAGGGAGTCGAGGGCTGTTGTTATATTGCATCTTCGGAGCAAGCGAGTCGAACAACAAGATTACATCACCCCTCACGAACTACATCACCATTCACGACTTTTTTGGCAAAACAGAAACACCTAAGAGGATAGAAAACAAAGTCAATTTGCTCGTGGACCAAAAATTCAGGTCCATAAGCGCCAAAAGGATAATCTTGGAGACGGGGCTCAATCGGGGATCGAACCCGAGACCTCGCACATCTTCGCCTGTTTACAAGCAGTGGGTTTATCCACCCGAAGCGCGAATCATACCACTAGACCATTGAGCCGAATCCATTGATGAACCCCGCGAGCAAACACAGGCTACATCAAGGCAGCCCCCAAAGGCCACATTTGTAAACCTGGGTTGAGAGCAACAGCAGGTTTTTTGTCCCAATGGACGACGATAAAACCCGAGATTCAAGCCAGCCCATCCTCGCCGAAGTTTTCTACGCCTATTCTCCGATACCGGAACGACATGGCATGCCTGGGCTCGTTTGCCTATCCCTCTGCTTCGCTGCTTAAAGTTTTCATTGTGCAATTTCCGCAGAATGATGAAAGGATGACAGCCTTGGACCGTAAATTCCATTTCTTGCCTAGCACTGCTCGAGAAGACCCTCTCACGCTGATTGGGGAGCTACCTTCTTCCTTGATGATCATTACTATGGGAAAGCAAACCTAGGCTTTGGCTTCTCGATCACTCACTTCACCGAACGGCCGCCTCCGCCATATTTGGTTGGTACTCCAGGAACCATCATCAAGAAACCTTGAGAATCCAGTCCTTAACCTTTCGGCATCTTCCGCCAATTTCCACCACGTCTCCCAAGCAGCAGCACTGAGCCAAAGCCCGCTTCCCCATTTCTCAGAACTTGAGCTCGTACAATAGAGCAGGCCCAGTACCAGTCCCAGAGGGAGTTATCAACACACTTCATTCCTGCCAGGCATCTTTTTTCTTCCGACCCTTTTGGATCGCGCAGCACATGGGAAGAGTGTGGTGCGGCTCCCTTGAATCGGATAATCCCAAATACACTCCGATATCGCACACCAAACGAAAAATGGGCTGTTGGTCTAGCGGTATGATTCTCGCTTTGGGTGCGAGAGGTCCCGGGTTCAATCCCCGGACAGCCCCCTTCGATTTGATTTTTGTGTTTGATGTCTTTCTCTTTCATCGAAGATGAGAGGAAATCGGGTTGAGTTTCAACATCTTTTTGCGCATATTTCAGAATGGAATATCGGCGCCTGGTTGGGGTCGACCACACATTGGTGATGCTAGCTGAACAACAATGAGAATTGGACGCAAGGCAGTCATCTCGTTGCTTTCATCAGACCCCTTGATTCGCCGTTCTCTTCAACATGCGTCTTCCACGCTTCCCATGCAAACGATAATAATACATGCCCGTACAAACTTCGCCGAACATTACCCCCTCCCCCCCAAACCACTCCTACTCCCCCCCAACACTCGAGTGCGACGTCCCTGGCCTGCTCCCCAACCGCTTCAGCTTTCCCCCTTTGGTATTAAACAGGCTCTTGACCCTCCTCAGCCGCGACATCATATCCACATCCTTCTTCTTCCTCGCCTCCTCGTCATCCACCTCCCCGTCCCCGTCACCCACACCACCCTCCTCCTCAGCAGCCTCTGCGCCCACCGTCCTCGGCCCGCCACCCATCGTCGTAGGCCTCTCGGGCGTCCTCGGCACACCGCCCCCACCGATCCCCGAGGCGGGCACGCTACTCTTACTCCTCCCATGGCCCGCCCCCACTCCCCTTTTGTCTCCCGTCCCGGCAACCTTGTCCCGGATAAACGCCTCGTTCCGCAGCCCCAAGACGAGCACCTCCCACCCGGCCAGCTCCCTCTCCCCCTTGCCCAGCGGGCGCGCGCCCGGGTTGCGCTGCGCGGCGGCGTTCTTCCACGGGCAAAAGAAGCGGTGCTCGCGCAGCGGGTCGAGGTGGTCCATGGGCGCGGGGACGAGGACCTCGCTGGTGGCCGGGTCGACCTCGCGCGACTTGAACATCCACAGCCCCAGGCGGCGCAGGCAGGTGTGGCAGGAGGCGCTGTTGGGGACGGGGTTGTGCAGGAGGGGGTGGGTGAGGGATTGCCAGCCGAGGAGGGCGAGGGCGAGGGCGGAGCGGTTGATGGGTGGTGGTGCTGATGGTTGTGCTGACGGGGAAGAGGGGTCGGCGGCTTTGGAGGCGGGCGGGGGTGGTGAGGTGAGGAAATTGGGGGGGAGGTAGGTGAGGATGGTGTCGAGGTTGAGGGTGGGAGGGAGGCGCAGGTTGAATTCATAGGGAAGGAAGGCGGCTCGGTCGCAGAGTTCGTCGTAGCGCTGGCGGAGGGACTGGAGGGCGAGTTTGGGGTTGGGAAGGGGGAGGCGCAGGAGGGAGTCTAGAGCGCGTTTGTTAGTTGGTTTGGGAGAGGTGTATTGCATGAGGAATCGGGGAGACTCACCATCGCACCCTTTTCTCCTCCACAGACAGTCTTCGGCATGCGCCTCGACAATCAGCTCGACGTACTTGTCCACCACCGACTCGGCAATCTCGGACGCGATCAGCACCGCAATCTCCTGGCCATCCACCTCCTTGCGGTTCACCTTGACCGCCAGCTCGCGCGCACAGAGCGTGCACCGGACGCGCTCCTTGCCCTGGCACACCCAGCCGCGCTTGGCCCACTCCACCTCGCTGACGCGGTCGGGCTTGGGGGTCCAGTCGGTCAGCTCCTGGAACGTCCCCAGGCGCCGCAGCAGCTGGTCGCGGTCGCCCGGGCAGTACTTGGGCGGCGGCGGCTGCCCTTCCCTCGCGTCGGGTGCCGGGCTGGCGGCACCGGGAGTCCATTTCCGCAGCGTGACATTTGAGATGGTGGTTGACGGCGGGACGCTGCGTATACTCGCGGGGGACGACCGCATCGGCGTACTCTGTTGTTGCAGCGTGCTGTACTTTGTCGGCGTCGAGGTCGGGCCGCCGACGCGGCGCTTTTTGTTCAGGTCGACGGTGCTGTCGCCGGCCATTGCTCTTGATGGGTGCGGCGACGATGGTTGCGAGCGCTGCGAGGCGGGTGACGATGCGGGCTCGGCGAGGCTGTACTCGGAATCGCTGCGCTCGGTGGCAGGGCGGTTGCCGATGCCCTGGAGGAGCGCGTTGAACTTGCGCTTGACCGTGTTGTTCATTTTTGGGGTGTGTCGCGAAAGTGCTTGCGCTGCCGTGTGCTGTGCATCGAGTGGCTGCGGCTGGCAGCGATGGGCAAGCAGCTGCTGCCGTGTCTCCTTTTGGTCACCACAGTGATGACCCCACCAACTTACTGCAGTTGCGCAGTATTGGCTGGGCGTGAAAATATAAGCCGCAAGGTTCTTTGTGATCCCATAAGTAAAATGATCCGAGGCACCAAAAAAGGATCGGCAATTTTCAAGAGTTCTGGGCTCAGAGTATTTGAGTGAGACCTGCTTGCAGTTCCAGGTCGGTTCCAGGTTGTTTGTCTCGGGCGTCGTTGACTTTGCATGCTGGGAGCTTGGGGCAACCACGCAGCTCTAATTTAGCGCCTTGGCTGCAGGTTCGCACAGTGTGGATGCCAAGTCCTCTCTCGCAGCCAACATCAATCACACCTCAGCCTTTACACAGCAACATGGGCTGGTCTCTTCAACCCACCCGGGAAGCATCACTCTCTGGGAAGTTGCCACTGAAGTAAGCAGACATGGCTTCAAATAGCTCAACTAGAAAAGTAATCTAACAATATGGGTATCTCTATCCATCCAAGTCATGACTCCATCATATCCTCCTTCAACCCTTCCCCTCTCTCACACTCCCTCCCATCCCACTCAAATTATCGTCTCACTCAAATTCCCGTCTCTCAACTCACTCGATCCTCCTCTCGCGGTAACCCACCCCCCTGATCCTAACCCTCAACGCCAGCGAGCTCAGCACCACACTAATGCTACTCAACGCCATGGCCAAGCTCGCCCACACGGGATCCAGCCGCACATGCTGCCCGTTGCTCACGATCGGGTAGAGCGCGCCGGCCGCCACGGGCAGCGCGACGCAGTTGTACACGACGGCCCACCCAAAATTCAGCTTGATGCGCCCAAACACCACGGCCGACAGGTCCAGCAGGTCGACGACGGCGCGCAGGTCGCTCTTGACCAGCACGAAGTCGGCGCTACTGATGGCCACGTCGGCGCCGGACCCGATCGCGACGCCCACGTCGGCCGTCGCCAGCGCCGGCGAGTCGTTGATGCCGTCGCCGACCATGGCCACCATGGCGCGCCGCGCCTTGGCCTCCTTCGCTCCGCCGCTGCCCGCCCGCAGGGTCGACTGCAGGTACTTGATCTTGTCGGCCTTGCCTGTGGGCAGGACTCCCGCGATGACCTGGTTGGCGGGGATGCCGAGCTGCGCGGCGACCGCGGCGGCCGTGGTCGGGTTGTCGCCCGAGAGCATCCAGACGCGGGTGCCGCGGGCTTGGAGGGCGCGGAGGATGAGCGGGGCTTCGGGGCGGATGAGGTCCGAGATGGAGAGGACGACGGCGAGGGTCCAGACGGGGGAGGTGCTGGACTTGGTCGCGACGAGGGCGATTGATTTGGCTTCGGATTTCCAGCGCTGGAGGAGCGCGGTAGTTTGCGCGGGGATGGAGACGGCAAAGTCGGTCATGAATGACTCGTTGCCGACGGCGAGCTCGAAAGAGGAGGCTGGTCCGAGGTAAGTTGCTTTGAGGCCCTTGCCGGGGACTTCCTGGAGCTGGTCGATGGTGGCCTTGGAGGAGGTATTGGCGGCGCAGAAGGAGACGATGGCCTTGGCGATGGGGTGGCTGCTGTTCTCCTCGACTGCCTTCAGCGCTGCGAGGAGGGCGTCCTTGTGGGCGTCGTCCTCGGCGTAGATCTCCGAGTCGGTGATCTTCGGCTCGCCGCCCATCGTCAAGGTGCCCGTCTTGTCAAAAACGACGCAGTCGATCCGGCTGGCCTTTTCGAAGGCTTCGCCGCCGCCCTTGGCGAGAATGCCGTGTTTGGCCGCGAGGCCGCTGCCCACAAAGATGGCGGTCGGAGCCGCGAGCGCGAGACCGCATGGGCAGGCGACGACGAAGACTGAGATAGCGAACTGCAGTGAGAAAGCAACCCAGCCGCCCGACGTGACATCTAGGTAGTGCCCCGGAATGTGGCCACCCAGACCCAGAGAGAGCCAGATGATCCAGGTAAGCACGGCGATGAGGGTGACAACCGGCACGAAGTACGACGTCAGCAGATCCGCGACCTGCTCAATCGGCGCCCTCTTCGTCTGGCCCTCGCGAACGACATTGACAATTTGGTCCAGC